CGGCTTTAGACATGCCTGGACATGCCCTGGCATGCCCTGACCCCCACCTGCTATTCCCCCCCTGTAGGACCCCCAGATTGGGGTACCCTACGTTCTCGGGAGGTTGCACCCCAATAACTCAGTCCTCAAATCAGGAGATGCAACAAGCATGAGGATTTATTGGCATTTTGCAAAACGGACTCCCACCTCACTCGGAGGACAGAAGTCCAGAGCCCAGTTCACAGGTTTCTTTTAAAGACAAGCGGTGGCTATGTGCCAAGCAGAGGTAGGGGGAATTTCTGGGATGATTTCCAGCTTGGGCAGAGGAGCATGAAAAAGGTCAGCTCAGCTTGTTCTTAGCATTCAGAATTATTTTTCATTTTTACTTCCTTGTACAGTTTTTCTCAGGCCTGGGGGATTTTAGTTTAAATCCATTATTCTGGGGGCTTTGGATCCATCATTTGTGTATGTGATACAGCTAAAGAAGTAACTCTGAGCTTAGCAATTTCAGAGCCTCTGTGGTCTTGTGCATCTCTCCCTAGACAGTCAGATGTCAGTAAGAGTGACAACTGAGCCCACTATACATCTCTCTCATCTGTGCTTATACTCTGTTATTTCTGTGGGGCTATGCAGGGGCAAACTCCACTGCCCTGTCCCCATTTCCCATATTTATTGAAACTTTGCTGCTATCCTATCCTCTCATCCCAGGTTAAATGAATAACAGAAGATTGGGGAAGTGGTGTCAAAGCAATGAGAAAACACAAAAATGACATCTCCACTGTCCATACTGTAGTTAGCACTATTTTCTTCTGGAGATGTTTTCTCTGTCTTTTTGTTTGTTTTTTTTGAGGCAAGGTCTCCCTATGGCCCCAGCTGTCCAGGAACTCACTAGATAGATGAGGCTTGCCGGGAACTCACAGAGATTCACCTGCCTCTACCTCCCAAGTGTTGGGATCAAAGGTGTGTACCACCACGCCCGGCTCTGGAGATATTTTCCTTAAACCCAAAGGAGAGTACAAATAAAAACAATCTTGTAAACTGGGCTTGGTGGTGCACGCCTTTAATCCCAGCACTCAGGAGGCAGAGGCTGGAAGGTCTCTGTGAGTTCAAGGCTAGACTGGTCTACATAGTGAGTTCTAGGCCAGCTGGGGCTACAAAAAGACCCTGTCTCAAAAAGATAAAAAAAAATCTTATAAATACATTTTGAATATAGCTTCGCACACTTTGAGCACCTTTGGACATTCTCAGCTATAGAGAACTATTTGGCAAACTTAACTACTACACAGTTCTACCCCATAAACAACAGTAAACCATACAGCAAATGCTCTAGTCCTCTAGCATAATGTGCCGAACAGCTTGTTTTTAGCTAAACTTCAAAAGACACACAAGAAATATATGAAATACAGAAAGGTTGCTATGCTAGGGAATAAAATTAAAGTATGAAAGAGGCTCGAGGTATTTTCATTGAAAAGTGGAGAAAAAGATGGAAACCCACACATAGACCTGAGTATGTAGCTCAGTGGTACAGTGACTATCATGCACAGAGCCTTGGTTTGATCCCCAGAACCAGGGTAAACCCCAGAAACCATGAAGAGTGGAGGTTCTGTGACATAATGGAGCATAACAGGAAATATAACTGCTCTCTGGACAGTACCATCAATGAATGACCTCAGAGGACTGGCTCCATAGAGGTTCCGTTTCCGGGAACACAACTGAATGGGTAGGTCTAAACAGGGATCTCATCACCTCTAAGTCTTCACAGGCAGGAGTTAGCAACAACTTCAAAAAGCACAAGAAAATTTTAGAGGCTCTCAGCCCAGGTAGACGCCATCTAGCATCAATGGATGTATAATGTTTACAATAGCGATTCATAGGTACCAACAACAATGTAACTTTTGTCAAACTACACTATATTTTTTCCCACTTTGGTTAATAACTTACCTTCAGAGGCTGATTTCTTCTTATTATAGCCAGGTCAATGTTTTTTCCTCCAGACTGGACAACCTAATATAGAACAAGAACATGTAAGAGCTCTTTGGCTAGCTTGGGGACAGCTCAATAGTAGACCATGTGCCTAGTATGTGTGTGAGGTCCTGGTTTTGATTTCTCTGCACTGCAAACAAAAAACTTGACAAAAAAAACAACCCACCTCAGGCTGGGCATGGTGGCACACACCTTTAATCCTAGCACTTGGGAGGCAGAGTCAGGTGGATCTCTGTGAGTGCCAGGTCAGCCTGGTCTACATAGTGAGTTCCAGGACAGCTGGGGCTACAGAGAGACCGTCTCAAAAAAGACAAAAAAAAAACCTACTTCAACAAATTGTGTGTTTAATAAGTCAAAGTGCGTGAAGAAGGCAAGATCATGTTTTCAGAACACTCCTTACCAGGTCACTCACCTCTAGCAAAGCTCTTATTGCTAATTTGATAGTTTCATTGTCATTCGAGATGGCATCTTCTGTGTAATTCTTTTCTAGAAATTCCCGAACGGTTTTAGCACTCCGGCCTATTGCATTTGCCTTGAAAAATTAAAACAAATTATTAATATCACTGCAATACAAGTGAGCTTATTGTTATTAATTATGCTCAGGCTTTTGGAGTTTGCTCCAGTGATTCCTTAGTAGAATCCCAAGGTGAAAACTTAGCAAACATTTCAGAACTCATTTGGTTATTACGTGAATAATACATACTGGTGACATCACTTTTTTTTTTTTGTCTTTTTGACACAGGGTCTCCCTGTAGCCCCAGCTGTCCTGGAACTCACTATGTAGACCAGGCTGGCCTTGAACCCACAAAGATCCACCTGCCTCTGACTCCTGAGCGCTGGGATTAAAGGCGTGTGCCACCACGCCCAGCATCATCACTTTTACTTTCAGATCTACTAATGTTTTGTCCTGGTCAACGCCTTCTGTTACCTTAATGGTAAGTTCCCAAGTCCTTTCTATCTAGAGAAAATGAAAGAGCTGAAACTCGAAAGATATGGTGAGGAAAGCAGGTGTAACTTCATAAAAGGATGTAAAAGGGAGAGAGACAGAGACTGGAGAGAGATACAGCAATGCCTATAATGAGGAAGATCTTGAGTTTGAGGCCATCCTGGGCTATATGCACAGCAACTGAGAGGCGAAACCTCAGCTAAATAGTGAGGCCCTGTTTCAGAAAACAAATATCAAAATTATCTATGAAAAGTGATAAACTGCATGAATAGAACTGAGCATTACTTTCTTAGAACTTAGGAATAGTGGTTTCCTAATTTTCTATTATCTTCTTTGACTCTATAAATAGGAGGGCTTCTAGTCCATTCTCTGTGTTACTCTAGAGATTTTCATTGGATGCAGGAAAGAGGCAAATGGATTTCCCTGATTACATGGCTATAGGCAGCAGACAAATAGCATATTCTTTGAATTGAGGCCAAATATCCAGAGCGTTATGGATGATAATGATGATGATGATGATAGTGATAATTTTATTAACTGAGCCCTTATAGGTCAGGCACTGTGCTAAGTGTTTTAGGTGAATTCTCATTTAAACACATGAAAAATGCTTAAACAAATATTATTATGAACATCAATTCTTGGATGAAGAAATAGAGGCATGGGAAGGTTAAAATGAGGCTCTAAGCCTCAGCACTGGAGTCAGATAAGTCTTTGTTGTAAGCTGTCCTGTGAACTGTGAGATATTTAACAGCCTTCAGTAGCACTGAAGACCCTAGTTGACAGACAACCAAGCATGTCCCAGAATATGTTGATGGGGCTTTGTAAACTGAAGGTTGAGTCTGCCTCATGACAGGATCAGGCATAGAAACCAGAGTCTAAATCAACAAGTCCATCTTTTAACTGTATACACAATGCTGCCTTGTCCCCCTTTGCTGTGATAATCTAGAGGGTAGAAAGAACCAGCAGAGAGGTATTAATGGGAATGTATTACTGGTGTTAAATGGGGAATGTATCTATTATAATTGTTTACTATTGTTATGATTTGAAACAGAACTCAAAACAGTTTGGGAGTAGACATGGGAAAAATCTTAAGGAATGGGAGAATGGTTTATTACTTGCCTTGCAAGCATGAGGGCGTGAGTTGGATCCCTAGAACCCACATGAAAATGCAGGGTGCTGGGGAGGTGGAGACAGGAGGGTCACTGAGGTCACTAGTCAGCCAGTCTAGGCTAACTGGTGAGCTTCAGGCCAATGAGAGACCCTGTCTCAAAGGAGATGAACAGCCTTCCTGAGGATGACATGGAAGATTGTCTTCTTGTCTCCACATGCATACACATGTGGACACAGATTTACATATATGACACATATACACATGCATTCTAAAAATCCCTTTACTACTGTATGAGAGTACACTACTCTGGGTAACAGAAGATTCTTCTCACATAACTTTTCCTATGCTAGCTAACAGAATTCAAGTAAACAAGTGCTGTGCTAGATAGCTTTAGTTGTCAACCTGACACACCTGGATAGAGGGAGCCTCAATTGGTGAATTGCTGCCATTGAATTGGCCAGTGGCTATGTCTGTGGGGCACCTTCTTGATTGTTGAGTGATGTGGGAGGGCCTAGCGCACTGTGGGTGGTGCCACCCCTGTGCAGGTGGGCCTGTGTTGTATAAGAAAGAAGGTTGAGCTGGGCCAGAGAAGCAAGCCAGTAAGCAGCGTTCCTCCATGGCCTGTGCTCCAGCTCCTGCCTCCAGGTTCCTGCCCTGAGCTCCTACCTTGGGCTCCCTCAGTGATGAACTATGACCCAGGAGATGTAAGGCAAAAAAGTCCTTTCCTCTCCATGTAGGTCTTGGTCAGTGTTTTGTCACAGCAATGAAGGCAGACCAGAACAAGGTCTTTGTTGCTTTTGTGTGTGGCAGACAAGTTGTTATCAACCTCAATATTCAAATATTCATTCTTCTTTCCTGACACAATGCTGAAAAATGTGACTACTAAAAAAGTGTCATTTCCTACCATCTGCTACAAGTAAGTCTATGTGAAGTCATGGGGTGAAGTTTCTGGGATCTTTGATGCCTGAAATGCAAATGTACGGGCCAGACATCTAGTAGTCATCCTGGGGGCATGGGAAAGACTACAAATGAGAGACAAATGCCAACATCTCCAAACTTCTTATGTGAGAAAAATGAATTACTTTTTTATATTTAATTTATTTTACTTTATTTTATGTGTATGCATATATTGCCTAAATGGAGGTAATGCAATGCTTGTGGAGGACAGAAGACGTGTCAGATCCCCTGAAACTGGAGTTATGGACAGTTGTTAGCTGCCACGTGGGTGCTGGGATTCAAACAGAACAGCCAGTGTTCTTAACCCCTGAGCCATCTCTCCAGCCCTGAATTATTATTTTTAACAATTATTATTTTTATTTTATGTGTATGAATATATTGCCTGCATGTATTAAGTACACCTATGTTGTCCAGTGCCCAAGGGATCAGAAGAAGGTATTAGATTACCTTGGAACTAGAGTTATGAATGGTTGTTAACCACCATGTGGGTGCTGGGAACCGAACTCCTGTCTTGCACCTGCCTCTGTCTCCTGAGTGCTGGGATTAAAGATGTGTGCCACCACGCCCAGCTGAAAAGTGAATTCTAGTGTGTTAAGCATTATCAGGTCCTCTGGGTGCACCTCTGAGGTGATCCTGTGACATCAGCCTACACCCTTCAGAAATGAAAGTCTTATTCCTGCAGTTGCTTAAAGTGCCTATGCCAGATACTCCTTAGTTCTTTTTTAAAATTTATTGTTACTTTATGTGTATGTGTTTTGCCTCCATGTATGTAAGTGTACCATGTGTATGCAATGCCTGTGGGTGCCAGATGAAGGCGTCAGAACCCATGGAACTGGAGATATGGACAGTTGGTAGCCATAATGTGGGTGCTGGGAACCGAACCCGGGTCCTACGCAAGAGCAGCCAGTGCTCTTAACTGTTCTGCTATCTCTCCAGCCTTGGTGCTTAAAACTCCTGGGAGTTTCTTCATTTGTCAAATCTGCCTAACTCAAGATCATGTGCCCTTCTAGGGACAGTCCTATTCAAAGACTGTTGAAGAAGGGCTATGAATGTCCTGTCCCTTTACTCCAACTTGAAACAACTTTGAGGAGTCACCACAGATCTAGAGCTTGCCGTGGGGTCATTTTCAGAGCAACAGCTCATCCTCCTTCTCTTGCCTCTTCAACGAATGTCAATCCTAATACATTTCCTAACGTAATCACTTGTGTCTCAGAGTTATTTTTCATAAAATTAATTTTCAGGAATCATTCGAAGTCTAGAAATGACTTTCTTTTCCTGCGATGTAGTGCCTGTGTCCTCTGCCACAGTGGTCCTGCCTCTTATGAGAGTAACTCTTGATGCAATGTTGGACCTCAGAAAAAAACAACCCTCAGCTGACATGTGCAACATGGCTTTTCTACCTGAAGGCTCAGTAACTTACGGAGCAGATCCTAAATATGTTCTCTCAGGCTAAGAAAAAGAGATGTGGTAATAAGAAACTATGCATAATAAATAAAATTAGCAACAATATCCATCATACTTGAGATACAAACAACAGAAAACTAAACAGGTCAAGTATTTTTAACAGCAATGAAATTAGATGTTTATATTAAATACTCTGAAATCTTCTCAGGGTCCAGAGAGATGGCTTGTTGAGTAAAAGTGTTTGCCATGTAAACCTAAAGACCCAAATTCAATCCCCCAAACCCAATAAATGGCAGAAGAGAACCAACTCCTCTGACCTTCACAAGCATGGCACATGCAGGTACACACACATACCATGCACGCATACACAACAATGATAATAAAAAACTATAATCTTTCAGCCCTAAGGTTCTGTCTTTAAGGCACCAGTTTCCAAAGTAGATTCCATAGAATGTCCAAATCCAGAGAAAGAGAATGAAAGACAAAATGGTTCTAAATTCAAATAATTTGAGGGACTATTAAATTACCTACAGCTAAGAGCTCTACAGTGCTTTTAAGAAGATCCAAAAGTAGTTCAGTTATGAAACACTAAATTTCTTTTTTTGATTTATGAAACAAATTTATTACATAACACCTTGTTTTTAACAATGTTCAATTTTTAAAAATTCAGAATACTTGTGTCATTCATGTAAAATAGTTTGATACAGTACATTGTATGTTATAGCGTTTCCCCCCCTAAAAAATTCTAAGGCTCTTCTTCTCCTTTGCTGAAGTAAGGGCACCCTAAAAAATGTGCAAACGAGTTTTAAAAAAGAAAGTTAACTGAACAAAATCTTAATAGCACTACACTAACCAGCTTTAAAATCAGGACAAAAATCTCAGCTGGATGCTGCGCCTTGTTAAGGAGGTTACTGTTCATGCTTTCGTCATTGTGAAGCACATGCTCACAAACCAGCAACACAGACAGGAGAGATAAGACACTATGACAATCATTTCGGTTTGTTTGGTTTGCTGAACCAAATAGGTTTATATCAATGATAACATATTTAATCACTATCAAATAGCAGCCTTAATACCAGTCAAGTCATAGGTTGAAAATAAAAACAAACGTCTA